TATTCCCTGGCGCCGTTTGACGTCACAGAATCGGGGGAGCTGAAACTATGACGTCATAGATAAGGTGAGAGGATGGATAAGTGATTGAAAAGGGGTGGGGAGGGGAGAGAGAGAGAGAGAGAGAGAGAGAGGGAGAGAGAGGTGTGAGAGAGAGAGATGAGAGAGGATGAGTCGAGAGGAGAGAGGAAGAGAGGAGAGGTGGGAGAGAGAGAGAGAGAGACTGAGAGAGAGAGAAGAGGAAGAGAAGAGGAGAGAGTCAGAGAGAGAGAAAGAAAGGAAGAGGGATGGTAGAGGAGAGAAAAAAAGGAAAGAAGGGGAGAAAAATAGAGAAAGGAAGGGAGACGAACAGATACCAATAAATGAAATAACACCGTGATAATAGATATAAATTAAGCCAAATAAAATATCGTTTCGGTGGCATGAAATGGCGGCCGTGGACAAATGGCGAATTCCCAAATTCAAAGGAAACGAATCCAAATCAACGGCCCTTCCAAATCCCAATCAAAAACATAAGTAAATCCAATCCCAATCAAAGGAATCCAATCCCGACCAAAGGAATCCAATCCCGACCAAAGGAATCCAATCCCAATCAAAGGAATCCAATCCCAATCAAAGGAATCTTCCAATCCCAATCAAAATGGGAATCCAATCCCGACAAAAGGAATCCAATCCCGACCCAAAGGGGAATCCCAATCCCGATCAAAAGGAATCCAATCCCAAATCAAAGGAATCCAATCCCAACCGAAAGGAATCCAATCCCAAATTCAAAGAATATCCAACAAATTCACCGACAAAGGAATCTCCAATCCCAAATCAAAGGAATCCAATCCCAATCAAAGGAATCCAATCCCAATCAAAAGAGGGAAAGTCCCAATCCAATCAAAGGAATCCAATCCAATTCAAAGGAAATCCAATAACCAATCAATAAGAAATCCCCAATCCCGACCAAAGGAATCCAATCCCGACCAAAGGAATCCAATCCCAGACCAAAGGAAATCCAATCCCGGAACCAAAGGAATCCAATCCCAATCAGGAAATCCAAATCCCAATCAAAGGGAATCCCAATCCCAAATCTAAAGGAATCCAATCCCAATCAATGAATCCAATCCCAATCAAAAGGAATCCAATCCCAATCAAAGGAATCCAATCCCAATCAAAGGAATCCATTACCCAATTCAAAGGAATCCAATCCCCAATCAAAAGGGAATCCCAATCCCCAATCAAAGGAATCCCAATTTCCCAAATCAAAGGGAATCCAATCCCAATCAAAGGAATCAATTTCCCGAAAACCAATTAGGAATCCAATCCCGACCAAGGAATCCAATTCCCAAAGAAAGAAAGGAATCCAAATCCGACCCAATAGGAATCCCGAATTTCCGACCAGAAGGAATCCAATTCCGCACCTCTCAAAGGAATCCCAATCCCAAAAGAAAAGGAAATCCAATTCCCCGGGACAAAAGGAATCCAAGTCCCGACCAAGATTACCAATCCCCACCAAAAGGATCCAATCCCGACAAAGGAATCCAATCCCGACAAAGGGAATCCAATCTTCATCAAAGGAAATCAAAGGAATGAATCCAATCCCAAATCAAAGGGAATCCAATCAAAGAATCCAATCCCAATCAAAGGAACCAATCCCAGGAATCCAAATCCCAATCAAAGGAATATTCCAATCCCAACCAAAGGAATCCAATCCCAGACCAAAGGAAAATCCAATCCCGACCAAAGGAATCCAATCCGACCAAAGGAATCCAATCCCAATCAAAGGAATCCAATCCCGACCAAAGGAATCCAATCCCGACCAAAGCCCAATCCAAAAGGAATATCGAACAAAAGGAAAATCAAAATCCCAAAGAGAAGGAATCCAATCCCGAAACAAAGAATCCAATCTCCGACAAAGGAATCCAATCCCGACCAAAGGAATCCAATCCCGACCAAAGGAATCCAATCCCGACCAAAGGAATCCAATCCCGACCAAAAAAGGGAATCCAACCCCCAAGCAAAGGAATCCAATCCCGACCAAAAGGAATCCATTCCCAAAGGAAATCCAACCCCAGCAAAGGAATCCAATCCCGACCAAAGGAATCCAATCCCGACCAAAGGAATCCAATCCCGACCAAAGGAACCGAACATCAGGGAAAGCAAGACCGACATTCGCAGGTTCTTGTCGGGCGGCGAATTGGCTTTGGTGTGGAGCGGAGGGCAGAGAGGAAGGTCAGGTCAGGAGAAAAGGAAGATAAATGGTGGATAGAGAGAAAGAGGATGATAGGAGGAGAGACAAAGGAAAAGGGAGAGATTAAAATAAGGGAGCACGTTTTTTTCGTTAGTTATTCTTGTTAAAAAGGACTTTGTGGATTATAGGATTTTTTAAACAAGTGGATAGAAAATTTGTTTTGAAAAGAAGACTTGGTGATACAGGACTGATGAAAATATTTGTTCATTCGAAATTGTGGATAGGAAATTGCCAAACTGAATTGAGAGAGAGATGAGAGATGAGAGAGAATGAGAGAGAGAGAGACGAGAGGAGAGAGAGAGAGGAGATGAGAGAGAGAGAGGAGAGGAGAAGAGAGAGAGAGAAGACGTCGGAGAAGAGAGAGAGACGAAGAAGAGGAGATCAGAAAGAGGATCAGAGAGAGATCAGAGACAGATTCAATCCCAGACAGACAGACAGCAGAGAAAAAGAGAAAGAGAGACCGAGAGAGACCGAGAGAGAAGGAAAAGTAAAAGTTTATAGATATATTTTGGAAAACGAAGACCGCAATATTAGCTTCATGACGAGAAATTTCACAACTGCTGGCCTGTATGTGAAATACAGAGCCCCGGACTAAATAAGAATTCGAAAAAAATATTTAAAAAATACGGAGAGAGAGAGGAGAGAGAGAGAGAGAGAGAAGAGAGAGAGGGAGAGGAGGGAGGAGAGGAGGGAGGGAGGAGGAGAGGAGAGGAGAGGAGGGAGGGAGGAGGGAGAGGGGAGGGAGAGGGGAGGAGGGGAGGGAGAGGGGAGAGAGGAGAAGGGAGAGGGGAGAGGAGAGAAGAGAGAAGAGAGAGAGAGAGAGAGAGAGAGAGAGAGAGAGAGAGAGAGAGAGAGAGAGAGAAGAGAGAGAGTAGATTGGAAGATAAGTAAGTTAAGTAGATAGATGATGATCGATAAATAGATAGATAGGTAAGTTGGAAGGAAATGAGAAAGAGAGAGAAAGAGAGAAAGAATCAGAGGGACAGAGAGAGTGAGTTGAGAGAATCAGCCCAAACAGACAAAAGGTAGACCCCCACCCCCAAAAAATAGATAGATAGATAGACAGATAGACAGACAGACAGACAGACACAGACAGACAGACAGACAGATAGATAGATAGATAGACTAGATAGATAGATTAGATAGATAGATAGATAGATAGTAGATAGATAGATAGATAGATGATAGATGGATAGATAGATATAGATAGACAGATATATCAATATAAAAAAACAAAGAACGAAAACACGAGCAGCAGAACAACAACAACAAAAAAGAACAATAACCCACGCCGGACAGACCGACACAGCGAGCATTTCATTCCAGGACGTGGCACTCAGCCCCGCCAGCGCTAAACGCCCCCAAAGTCGGCATGCAAAGGGTGTTAACATGTCGAGGCGCTGGACAATAATTCTGGGGAGAAGATGCGTCCGTCTGAGGGTGAGGAAAGGCCGTGGAGAGATGTCCTGTGAAGGGAGAGGAGAGGAGAAGGGAGATGAAGGGATGGTGGGAAGAGACAAAGGAGGAGGTTTTGGTAAAGATGGGAGGTGAGGAGGAACGAGAAGCATGTTTATGTATTATTATATTCTAATCTATTTCTTATGTTTTATTCAATTTTTTTATTCTTTTTTATTTTTATATGACTTCTGCTTCATCTAAGTTCTTTTTTTTCATCTTCCTCACTTTTAATCTCCCTCTCCTTACTCTCACCCTCACCTTCATTCCCTCTCCCTCTCCCTTTCTTTACTCCTATCTCCTTTCCCGTCTTCCCTATCCTTCTCTCTCTCTCCTCATCCCCATCCTTCTCCTCTCCCCTCCCCTCCCCCCTACCCCTCCTCATATACCTCCCCCTCTTCCTTCGCCCCCCTTCCTACTTCCTCCTCTCCCCTCCCCTCCCCCACCCCTCCTCCTCTCACTCTTACTCCCTCCCCTCTCCTCCCTCCTAATCTTCTCCCTCCCCTCCCCCACCACCACCACCACCCCCACTCCTCTCCTCCATCCTCTCCCTCCCTCCCCCTCCCCTCCCCCCCCCTCCCCTCCTCCTCTCCCCCCCCCACCACCACCACCTCCTCCCTTCCCTCCATCCCATCCTCCTCCTCCCTCCATCCCATTCCTTCCCCTCCCCACCCCTCCTCCTCCACCCCCTCTCCCTCCCCTCCCCCAACCCTCACACCTTCCCAACACCAAAAAATTCCATTCCGTGACGTTTTTTTCCAAATTGAACTCCATCGCCGCCCTCTGCTCACTTGGAGGCCGGGCCGGGGTCTTACTATTACAGATCCGGTGTCGTATCGAGCTGCAAACTAGCAGGTGTAAGGAAGACGGACACGGATCAGGTTGCCATTTATTCCCCCCCACCCCTCCTCTTCCCCACCTACCCTTCACCCTTTCATTCTCCCCACCCTCCCCTTCCCCCCTTTCATTCTCTTACCCTCCCCTCCCCTCCCTTCGTTGTCTCACCCTCCCTCCCCTCCCACTTCGATACCTCCTCCTCCACACCCTTCCCCTCCACCTCCCCCTACCCTTCCCCCCTTTCATTCTCTCACTCCCCCCCCTCTCCCACCCTTCCCCCTTCCCCC